TGTGTTTGGTGGTTGTAGAAATGGTTTATATGACATTTTAGCTGAGATTCAGAGGTTTCTGTGGATACCACATGTCTGGACTTATATTTCTCATCTCGTGTTATAACCGATTAAACATGATCTCCTCCCTTTTGCCCCCGGTACTGGGGGCGTGGGGCTTTAAGTGGTTATTAATCTCTGGCTTTCTTCCACGGTGTGTCTTTTGTCTTGCTTTTCCCTGCTGTATTCTTTTCCCTTCACTCCTAAGTGGTCGTGGCAGATGGCTGCCCCTGCCTGAACCTGGTTCTGATGGAGGTTTCTTCCTGTTAAAAGGGAGTTTTTCCCACTGACACCAAGTGCTTGGTCACTTTACCTTGCAATATAAAGGGCTTTGAAACAACTGTTGTTGTGAACGCGTGTTATATGAATAAAATCGAATTGAAATGACATAAAATGAATTGAATTAATTAATCAGCAGGAATGACTCACAGGCTGTAGACCATAAGAAATTGACTTGCTGAATATCATCTTGCATTTTACGTCATATGAGATTTAATTACCCATTTACTAAAGGTGCAAGAACTCTGCTAAATGTCATTCCAACTGTCTTTAACCTCTGCACATACAGACATGCTGTATATGCATATTTACATGGATTGAATGTAGATTATGCTTAGCTTCTGTATAGTTTTATAGCCATGAGCTTTCTGTAGTCCATCTTCAGGTCACTGTAGTTTTAACATGGTTCCTGTCAAACCCGTCACTGTTTTATATGAAAACAGTAAAATTGCACTTGAGCATATTAAAATATGCAAAAAGATGAAAAACAATTTCTAACTGTATGTGTAACCAATACGTCTACTCACCAAAGAATGAATGAAGCATTATGGATAACAGCAGAGGATAATTTATTTAGGGTCTGATGGCAATTTACCATCAGTGTCCAGCACTTTAAAGGATTGATGGACTGGAGCACATCTGTCCTCAACATACCCTCTTAAACATCAGCTTGACACTGATACATCAAAGGAAACTTAACCGACTCTAAGTGCAAATGTTTCAACCTGAACATGTCATGGTCCCCGTGCCTGCTCGGCTGGCCCTGTGTGGCTACATGTTATGTTTTGTCTTTTCTCTCTCTCCTCTCTCTCTGCTCGCTGCCTGGGCGGAGCTC